TATTTGGGACAGGTAGGTGGGACATGTTCGTGTACAGTCATTACCACTGAAGTCACGAGGAGCGCGTTAGCGGCATGAGGGTTTTGGCGCGACGTCAGCCTGTTTCCATCGGTCCTTACGGCTTCACGCGTTCACTGGGTGGTGGGAGAGGGGCTGGCCTCGAAAACCCACGCGGCGCTGACAAGCCTTAACTGACTTCAGTGGTAATTATAGCACGATCATGTATTACTTGTGCTTTTAATGGTGGAAGGGGCAGTGAAATGATTCTGAGCCAGGAGGCTAAGGATGTTTTTTAAGGCGTAGGTAGAAGGAGCTTTGGAGTGGCTGAATCTATTCCTTTAGGAAGATGTTTCTGCATCTCACGAAGAGTGATTTACCCATCCCGTTTCTCCTTCCTCATGGACTCAGGCAAAATCCTCATGTCTTGGATAGCAATCTCACATCTGAAATGCCTTGGTTTTGGGGCTGTGCACTCAAATGCTCCTCTTCTCCACCCCGTTGGAGTAGCGCTACAAGGTTATTAGTGCAACCAACTTGACTTGTTTGCAGCGAAAACAGATACGGTAGCGTCGTGCCCATGAACCCGGAAACCAATCGATGACGGGTTTTCCGTTTGAAATTCTGAAAAGCTGAATTTTCAAGGACCAAATCAGCTCATAACAAGGAGTGTGCTGACCAGAGAAGAGCGTATTGAGCGCTAAACAGGGCATATCCGAGTCCAGAGTGAGTTTGTAAGAAGCGTTTCGTTCGGGGGAAGTCTCGGCGAACATCATAGCGAATGGAAGACGAACTGAGGCAAACGCTGTGGCTGAAAACCTGTGTAGTTTGGAACGGTGGAATACAAAATTGTGCTGAATGGTGAAATCGTCCTACCTTGAGTTCCAGAACAGTGAGCGGCTAAATATACGGTAGTCGAAGTAGGCATACGGTCACCGACAAAAAAGGGTATCTTTAGCGACGATTCTCTGGTTCTGGGCCAGTTCCAGGAACCGCAGGCATGATAATAGAACTAGCCACAATGGCGCTAGAAACCGACTTTTAGTGGGGAAGCATTTGAAAGCATCTCATGAGTAACTGGACTGATAATGGCAAGTTTGGCAAGGGGAAGTAGCTCTTCAATGAAAGGTCCAACAGTGACCTTACGACAATATATATGTTGGTTATGCGTGGAGAATAATTCTGTTGGTGTGCAATTAGATATTTTGGCTGAAGTGCTATGTATATTATATGTTATTCTAAATATACAATTCTTCACAGGGATCATCTCTGTTTTATCATCGCTCTTCAGTATCGTTCCGCTTCCATGCTTGGGCGTTCAAGGATGCCTCTATCCTTCGCTTTTCTAGCGGAATAATAATCCGTTTGCTATTTTTTTCGGATATCTGATTATGTCGTATTTTATGTAGCTTTCACTGCTTTCTGGTGATGTGTTCTCTTTCCTACTGTAATATTCCTTTCAAGTTTCTGATTAAACCCTTCAGCCAACATGCCTTCACCTAGCAGACCATGCCTTTTATTGCCCTCTAAGGCTTTTTTAGTTCTAAGGTATAAAGCTTTGCGCCGGTGGGTCATTAAAGGGGATCGAAGTTTTGCACGAAAATCCTTTAAGTACCTTTCTCTCCCCAAGTGCCTGCGCATATTCGAAATCTACTGGTAAAGATGTACACCGCTCAGCTATAGGCTTCTTCTTCAGTGATTCGCAGAAAATTTAAAGGACTTTTGGCGCAGTTGGGCTAAGTGAGCGGACATTTAGCTGTTCTCCTGGATGTCGATTCACTGTGAGACCTGTTAAGCCATGCAGGAAATGCTGTGGTGTGACGATGATGACCGGAGCCGATCTGCGGGATTTGACCGCCGACATGCGTTGGTGGGCATGGCTTCTGCAGCTATCCTCTGCGCCTTCGTCAAATATAACTCTATTTACTGTAAAATTGATCGCTATTATTGGAAAGTACCTGGTTTCTCGATGAAGTAATACTGTGAGCGGAAGTAGTAAGTTGTTGTTGTATTTATAGTTCGGACCTGATCGAATAGATGCAACAAGATGCGAATGCGAAAGGATGAGAGGTAAATGACAAGGAGACTGCCACGTTTTTCAGAAAACTAGCTGCTCACCCTTATACTGCTGGCGGATTCTACTCCTTGAAAGGACATTCAGTGGTGAACATACTGAGAGTTGGCTTCCTACCTTCGTATCGTAGGTATCTGAAAAAGTATATCTTATTGAAGCTGAGATGGAGGCACAGCGCCGGCTCATCGTCACGAAACTAAGGCGGTGCCTTCCTCATTGTCTCCTCGCTTGCTCTCCTCATTAAAAGACAGACCACCAAGTGAGCAAACCCAGAAGGGTAGCTTGCCTATTCGAGTCGACGTGGGCTATGCTAGTAAAGAGCTTAATAGAAGCTGAGAGCTCAGAAACTGCGCCATTCTAGGGTCAAATCAGGAAAGCTTTCTGGCGCCATTCGGCTTGGAGGAACACTTTGCGTTTCCGCTAGTTCCTTTTGTTAGTTCATGTTGAACGACAGGTCTGATTCTGGTCAGACCTGTAAATTCTTTAGAAGCAGCGACGGTAGGAATGAGCGACATTAGGACTTTACAGAACTTTACAAGGTGGCCTGTGAGAGCTTAGCCTAGCTCATTCAGTGCCCCCACCAAGCCGAACTGCGCCACTTTTTCTAATCGGATGTTATTCTGAGAGTGTTTGGAAAACATCTGTTTGATGATATCAATCAACTGACCGCTGCTTTCTCCAGTTCACCAGAAACAGCTTTCATTGAGAATACAGTTTTGTTTTCCGTCCCTAAATAGCATTTAGAAGGTACTTGGAGGTTTCATCAGAAAACATCAGTACAAAGGATTTTAGAAATACAGTCCACGTTGATAGTATGGGCGGAGATGAGCGACCATTAGTGTCTTTCTCACTGACGCGTCGCCTCTTTTCCTCATCGTATTAGAAGGAGGCAGCGCACCAATGAGGAATGCGCGTTGGTAGGTCTGACTCCGCCCTGACCATCAGTGTTGAGTGTGCCATTCATAACACGCGTGCACAGACCTGTAATCCCCGGGTCCTTGATTGAAGCTTCAATTGTACGCATCTCTTGAATTTTTGCCTTGAAGTCGATAAACCGGTTATCAACCGGGACCTTAATTGAGCATAATCTGATGCGGCATATGGCTTAAGAGGTCCAGACACAGATGATCTCGCCGTAGTCGGCAGGGGCGGTGTCAGGAGGCATGGAATAAACCCCATCCACAGTGTTTTCACCATAAATTTTTCTAGACCGTTCATTAACCCATCACTATTGGCAAAGAAAGGCAGCCGGATGGACTCATTCCGCCTCTCTGACACCGCCCCGATTGATTGCGGCAATATCAACGACCAATATCAAGTTCACCTTGTACAGGTTGGGTTCAGTTCCTAGATATCCTATGCAGACTCGTCCACTGACAGAAAGCATCGAAAGCACACTCTGGTACGTTGAGCTGCAATGTTCTTCCAGAAGTATTGATCCCCTTATCAGGGCTGAGAAGGTTCAGCAGTTTTCATATAAAGGAATACAACAAGAGAAAGGTT